ATTTGATCATGATTTACATAATTAACACATACAATGTACTCACCCTTTTTTTTATATACATTACGTATGATAGGGTCGCGTTTTTCATCAACAAAATCACCCTTTTTTTTAGATACATTACGTATGATAGGGTGGCGTTTTTCATCAACAAAATCCAGTCCATACGGTGTACGCATTCGTGAAAATGACTTCATTTGACTGCTCACTGTCCCAACAGAATACAATTCTGAGAAAGTAATATTTCATATTTTCTTTATACATAAAAATTAATTATTTTTATGATTAATAAAAAATCATTACCAGCACCTAAGATAAAAATAAAATTAGCCCTAGGAAACAAAATTTAAAATATGAGCACTATTTGGAAAAGGCATCTGAGAGTTCCGAATACTATAAGATTGAACAAAAATTATACTGTGAATTTTGTTTTTCTTTTACTCACTCTTTTTTTTATATACATTACGTATGATAGGGTGGCGTTTTTCATCAACAAAATCACCCTTTTCTTTAGATACATTACGTATGATAGGGTGGCGTTTTTCATCAACAAAATCCAGTCCATACGGTGTACGCATTCGTGAAAATGACTTCATTTGACCGCTCACTGTCTCAACAGAATACAATTCTGAGAAAGTAATATTTCATATTTTCTTTATACATAAAAATTAATTATTTTTATGATTAATAGAAAATCATTACCAGCACTTAAAATAAAAATAAAATTAGTCCTAGGAAACAAAACTTAAAATATGAGCACTATTTGGAAAAGGCATCTGAGAGTTCCGAATACTATAAGATTGAACAAAAATTATACTGTGAATTTTGTTTTTTTTTTACTTTAATATTATCTATTTTCCTTTCTAAAATCAATATACCTAACATTCGTTCAAAACAGTTGTCTTTATCTTTTATTCATCGCTTAGATTTTTCTTATAATTCTCTGTCACGGGAAAATTCTTCAATTAATATAAGTTATAATCAGTTCATCACATTTATAATCTTTCATTGTTTTCATTGCTTGTGGTTTTGTTTAAAAATGTGATCTTTTTATTAATACGATAAATTGTATAATTCTAATTATCCTTTTTTCGGTATTTATTTTTTGTTTTAATGCCCTTATTTAAAGTAATATTTAATATTTTTTCATCTTACGTGATTACTTGGTAGAAGTTTATGCAATGTAGTGTTGGATGTGGTTTTTGAAAAAAAAATTATCGATTCTTTGATTTACCGAAAGGATCGTCTGGTATTTTTACTGATTTTTCTTGTGTTTTTTTAATTCCAGCTTTACAAGTAATTGCCACTCGAACACATTTTCCTGTTACAGCAACTAATCCATAAACACCTGAAGAATACAAGTAATTTAAAATTTTATTTAATAATTTTTGGATTAAGTTTGGAGCATTGGTTCGGTTGCCACTTTCTTTGGTCGATGATGTTGAATGTTGAAAGGTAAAGGGTTTATTTACTAATAACAGACCTTACCTTCAGGCACATTGCGGAAAGCAATACCCTTCCTTTCCCCGTTGAGCAGAAATTCTAAAGTTCCATCCGGATATCTAACAAATCCTACTGTATCATTAACGACTATGTTGCGTAGGTTAAGTTTATACCCACCGCCGATAGCTGCAAAATCTTTCCATAGCTCATCGTCTCTAAAATATAATGATTGAATTTTGTGTTACGTTAATTATCGGATAAACCTCTAGGTAAATGAGTATGTGATATGTTAAACAAACCTCAAAAACCAGAATCCACTTCCTTTTCCATATCCGTTGCCTTCATAAATAGAATCATCTGAAAATGTGTTGCACATACAAACACCTAAACAAAAAATAGAGTGTCTAGAAAATTAAGATCTAGAAAACTAAGACCTAAGATATCTTAGTTTTCTAGATCTAGAAAACTAAGATAAATTTTACTTTTCTAGATCTAGAAAACTAAGATTTTTAATGATGGGTTGTACCATTATATCATGAGGTATTTTGATTTTAAAGCAGTAAAATAAGGTTATACCACTATCTCTGAAGTTGGGTTCATTTTTCTAAGGAATTTGGAAGTACTGTAATCTATCCTTGATTTCAATGTACAGACCATTTGGCATAATTTTATTTGAATTAATATCAATTCTACAGGTTGGATTAATTCATTAAATTGTTAAAGCTTTCTAGATAGTCATTATTTACTTATTTGCTTTCCTCATATATTTATCTAGCATTAATGATTGTCTCCTGAACAACGACTGTACAAATCCTAAAATAAATTTGAAATTTTACTTAATAAAAAATGAGTATATTTGAAAAAAATGTGTACCCTAGTTTCTATTATGCTAATGCTTGTTAGCATTTTTAATTTAGGTAGGCCTACTAATTTATATGCTCAAGTTTGCTACTTTGAGCAAATTAATTTCAAATTATTATATTTATTAATACAATATATTATGATGATGATGATATTTTGAAACAGATGCAGAGCTTTTTTGACTTCTTTTAATTACTTAAATGTGACATTTTTAGGGGGAGAGAGGGACTGGGGAAGCATGAGTATTTTTTGGAGGGGCATATGGATGTATTTGTGTTTATTATTAGGCCTATATAGATTATGAAATAGCCTTCATAATATGAGATAGTACCGAAAAAAGAACAAGCTGGGTAATGCAGATACCACTGTACATTTGAAATATAGACAGTAGAGGAATTTGAACACTGTTATTACTATTTACAATAACATGTAATTAAAATAAATGACATGCTCTCTGTGACTTTGACCATTTATTTCGAACCCCGTATTTCATTGCCCTTTTTGTTGGACTGGCCCTACCAACGTACCTAAATGACACCATAATGTCTGTATTTAGACTAACCATAACCACTAATGGGATAATGAGATTACCATTTTCTTACATGGTGGTATCCTAAGGTATTCTACCCCTTCTTTCTTGACTGAGCAAACTTGATTATTCATACAGTTTAAATATGATGTATGATTAAATTTTTTTCCTAACAATTTTGTATCTCATTTGAGATCCAGCAATCATTACCCAGAGTATTTAGTACAGTATTTTGACTTTTTATTGCTGACTTACACCATGCACTAAACATTATCTAAACAAGTATTTATCTTGTAGCCCTAATAAAAAATTCTCTTTGGATAAAATATTTGGAGCTGGTCTTGGAAACATAAGGTTAAATATTTAAAGTGAGGTGAACAAATAAAAAATAGATAAACATACGGATGAGTAGAAGAGGTAGGGTGAGACTAAAAAATAATGAGTAAATTGAACCTAACAAACTAAGGAATTAGAAATAGGCATCCAAAAAAGAGTACTATAAATTTTCAATAAATAACAATATGAATAATAAATTCATAATTTCCTTGCTTTGTCACTCCAATTGGTATGGTACCGGTACTCATTACATTCTTGTGACCCAGCTGAATTAAAATATACACTTTTTTTTTATAAGAACCAGTAAAATTTTGCCCAGGCTCAGTGTTCTTATTTTTTGGCAGATTTCAGGCTCAAAATGTTCCTATTTTGTTCTTGGTTTACACACCTTTTAAACAAAAATGATTTAATTGTATGACAGTGTACACTGTACTGGAATGTAGGTGAAAGCGACTCCACAAAAAAATTGCCCCCAAATATCAGATAGGGACACCTACTGTACTGTATTATACAGGTATTACCGTCACACCTATTCAGATAATGTACAGATATAATATTTTGGTTTTTAATATAACCTCATTTGAAATTTTACCTCAGCCTCGATTTGTTCTTATTTTGTTCTTAATTTTTAAGCAATTTCAGCCTCAGTGTTCTTATAAAATGTGTTAGTTTTATCACCCATCACTTTGGGGAAATTCTGACCTTTTTTTTTAAATCAACATATATTTTTATTTCAAACGGTCGTTTTTCCATCTTTTTCACTTGATAAGCTCAGCATTTCTTGCAAATATGTTTATTGGTACAACAAAAACATATTTTATATAAATATGATTTCATATCTAATGACTTTTAATGCATGTGTCCCTAACCATTGATTTACTTGTCAACATCGGTAAAATGGGGGCGAGGTTGGGGGAAAAAAACCACCCTCCCTCATCAGTTTTTATTCTTTGATAGGGCGATAAACTAATATTTTTTATGGGGCCTTATAGGAGTCTCAAAGTGCTTGAATGTGGTGTGGACTAGCTCATACAGTAACTTTCGTCTCCCCTAAGGGTCTTTTTGTCTAACCAGTGAACACCGGGGTAACCCCTTACTCGTCTCGAAGAAAAATATACTGGGTTCTTTTCAGTGCACACAAGCCAAATTGTGTTACCTGTGCCTACGGCTTTTAGTCCTTATCCGAGAATATGACTTGTTACACCACCAGAACGGTGTCTATAAAACGAAGACCCAAGAATGAAGACCCCTTTTTGGGCGTCTGTTTGTGAAATTGTAAAAGGTCTTCGTTTAACGAGACCTCCAATTATTTCTCAATTATCTTATTAAAGTATTTCAAAATCATCATAAAACAGTTACCAAGTATCGCCTGGCGTATTATCATAAAAATAAAAGAGAAACAATTGGGGTCTTTTTTTTTTTTTTTTTGGTTCTTCGGTCTTCGTTTTATAGACACCCCTAGAACCATGGGGGAAAGCGTGCCGTTGAACCAGTGCCGATATTTATACAACTGTGTTAATTGAGGCACTATCAACTCGCTTGGGTCATGCTTGTTGACGGTAATTAGTAAGCCTATGCAGGGGTGGCGCCATCTGACCTGCCCGACGGGCTAAAGGCCCCTACGGGGGGGGCGGGGCTAGTGGAGCGAATCGAGTCTCACTTGGCTGGGGGCCAGGGGGCTACCTAGAGCCCCCTGGAAGCCACGGATATTTGATGAATTATGGCGAATTTTTATTACTTATTTGATAGGCATCAAGTTACTATAATATGACTTCCAAAACCAAAACATTTTGAATAAAGCAAGAAACAAAGAGTATGCAATGTAACCATCTAACTTATTTTCAAATCCTCATTCTTGAAAGAGAAATTCTATATTTTGAAAATTTTGCATGAAATCTGTCAACCACGTTGTCATGGTCGAGGTTGCTTCACCTATCACGATGTATTCCAACCATCATGAGGCTATCTAAATGAGCATTTG